GCAAAGTGATAATAGTAAATAAAATTAAAGAATATTCCAGAATAGGCAAAGATGGCTAAGTAGGCAAAGTAGGCAAAGATACTATAGTAGATCAATAGTACAGAAATTCTAGAACAAGAAAAGGATATTTTAGGGGCTAAATGCTAGTGGATTGTTACAAGGGTAAAATAAAATGTTAAGCGAAGATCAAGTGTAACAATATGTATTTTCATATTTGTAATTGGTTCTTATGATTTAATAAATAAAATAATATCAGTCTAATTTAGGGCTCCGAAAAAGTACCGAACCGGTATCGAAGTGGTATCGAAATGGTACCGATTTATAGTAAATTTAATATATGAGTTGTGATCCACTCATATAAATTTATAGTAAATTGAATATCGAACTGATATCAAACTGGTATCGAAGTGATATTATTAGGAGCTCTAGTCTAATTACAGGTTTAAAAAAAAAAATGATTTAATATTATTTCAAAAATTATAATATACAGTATATTTTTTTATAATTTAAAATAAAATTTATAGACAAGTTAATATTTAATACAATAATAATATTTATAATTATTTTTAAAAAATATCATTATTTTCTTATATAAATTACATATATACAATTAATAAAGTAATAATATTTATTTATAAAAAATAATAATAATAAAATCAAAATATAATTAATTTTTACAAATAAAAAAAAAATATCTTTATTATTTTAAATCTCAATTATCAATATCTCTTAAAAAAAAAATTCATATTGATTTAATTTTTATAATTACTAACTTATTTATTTAATATAAATATAATTATTTCAAATACATATACAATCTAATATTAATATTATTCAACTTTATTTTTTTTAATATTAAATAAATATTTATAACTGCTCAATACTATCTAATAGAATATATTATGTAATCACCATAGACAAGCTAATTTTTAACTCATTGTATTAAAAACATGAAAGATGTTTTTCAAAATATATATCATGTAATATACAAATCAAATAAAGAAATAATGTTTATCTACAAAAAAAACTAATACGTTTTTTTATTTGCGATAAAAGCTTGGCGTGCATATTTGTTTGACGAAAACAATCTTTAGTCAGAAAACTATGGCTGATCGATCACGTGTACAATCTGGACAAATAAAAAAAGTGTAGTAAGTGTGAATTTCCAGATCACACGCCATAAGCTCCACAATATTAAGAAAAAAAGTTCTAAAATACAATTGGTAACAAATATTTATGTCCTTTGGACCTATAATAATGATCCTAGAATAAAGCATTCTAGTAAATATCCTGATTGAAACATCCAGTCTGAATATATAAAAAAAGCTCGATTCAATAGAGCAAATCCGAAGGGTAAAACGATCAATAGGATATATCAGTATATTTCATTTACATGTAAATAAGGACATCTTTCTTTGCCAAAAGGCAACAATCTCTGCGCCAAATTGTTGTGATGAATTAATTATATGTCAGTGTGATGACGAATCTCTTATGCATCATTTTAGGTACGTAAAAAGAAGCCTTTCCTGCACATTAAAATGTTAGAGATTCAAACCCAAAGTAAAAGTGTATAATCACCCTCCCTGTAGAATACTTGCCGGTCTACCAATCAAGAAGAATTTTTTTAAGTACTGTACTGTACATATTGATTGACAGAAGATATGCACCATTAAAAGGGGGTACTATACACCGCTACTTACGGTACTGTATGTGTACAAATAAATATGTTTATACAATCGGTAAGACATTTGATGAATGATTTTTTCGTCGCAGTACGTACATTACTCCCGTTATGCTCAAAGTTACGCTCCTTTTTTCCAGCGTCTTCGTGAAAAATGTCTGTTCTTATTTATGATAAAGAAGATTTTTTGAGTCCATAAAATTTAGGTTTGTTTATGTTTTTTCCAGTAAGCATAGAAGTGACCCGCGAGACTTTCAGTACTCACTCATTCTTTCGAAAACTATTAATGAGGTTTTCACAGAAATGTTTTATGCAACTTCGTTTTACAAGGATTTTTATTGCTCATTTCGGTTTACAAAGGTTTTTTATGTAAACTACTTTTTTACATAAAGTTTTTGTGAAACAATTATTTTTTTTATAAACAGGTTCATCTAAAGTGCACTAAGAGACAAAAGTCATGGTCTTTAAACATAGCCAAATTTACGCTACTCGTTATAAAGTGTTATTTAGCATTTTACTCCTTCACCTTGCATTTTTCTCCAGTTTTCTGTATTACTTCCCATACAAATGCGATGTTAATATCAAACCGGTCTCAGAAGAATCATCAGCACCGCTGGCACCACCACCACCACTTCCGATGGACGATACCTATATTAAACCTCCTCCGGGCGTTGATACAAACGTAACAGTTTTTCTTGGAATTTTAACCGTTTACGAAAAGACTGAGATAAGGAATTACTTGCGCAATATGTATAAGCATAGTAACACTGCACTAGCACGATACCTTGGAGTTCAGGAATCCCCTATAACGGTTAAGTTTATTCTAGGGATTCCAAAGGACAAA